TGAAGGCACCTCTGTCTTACTCTGTCCCACAAGCAGTGGCTTGAACTAACTCATCTCTAGGTCCTTTTCCACATCAAGATTCAATGATTCTTTGTTCACGGCAATGACTCTGAGGCACTGAGAGACGGCTAAATTACATTCAGTATTTTCTGCTTAAAGAGGACTTTTTAAAAAAATATTTTAAATTGTAAATTTTATTTTACGTTTTGGTGCCTACAGTTGCTGAAATATTCCTTTATGTGGAAGGGGATTTTGTGATTGCCTATTGAATTATCTGCTTCCCCGGCAGAGTGAGGCTCGATAAGAAGAAAGACCGCGTCTGTGTGGTCCGCCACCTGCCCGGCACCCAGCACCGGGCCACGGGCGGGGCTCGATCCAGCGCTGTGGAATGAGTGAATCGACTAAGAAATTCACATTACCTATGAGGCAGCATTCATGCAAATATGTTATTACACTTCATTTCACCTGTTTCTTTTTACTTTTTTAATTTAAAAAAATGGAATTACATATGTGGTGCACGCTGTGTCTCCATCCTACAGGGCTGTCGGAGACACGCCCGCCCTGCCCTGGCTCTCGAGACGAAGCACAGTTTAAACACATCCTGGGGTCCAGGTAAACCTCCCTTATGTGATGGGTCTACTTCCTCTCTCGTCCCTGGGGGCTGCCTCCCCTGCAGCCGGGGAGCCTTCGAGGGCAGGGTCACATCTTATCCCCTGGGAACTCCAATACCGGCCCAGTGGCGTGCCAGCGCCGCACTCCCTTCATGCCCATCACAGCTCGGGAAACGGGAGGACAGGCCCATCTCCAGAAAATGGAGGCCCTGAGCGAGGAAGCAGCACGGGCCTCATGCCCGGGAGCCAGCTCTTCCTGAAGTCTCTGGCGGCTCGTCCTCCAGCCCGGGGAGAAGGACAGACTCCGTGCAAGCGTGAGGAATGCCTGATCGCTCAGTCCCCTCACAGAGCGAACCAAGCTGAGGGGGAGAGGGGCTGTGGGTGGGGGGAATCTCTGCTGGAGTCTTGGCCCCGAGTGAGACAGCTTGGGGCAAGAAGACAGTCAGGGGAGGGCTTAGGGTGGCTCGGGTGCGAGGGGATTTAACCACTAAACACCGCCCCCACCCGCACACAGGCACACCCGTCTCCTGTCGGAACATCCCTCCTGCCCGTGCCTGCAGTGGGCCCTGCGTAGTTCACCCTTTGCGGGGCAGAACCGCCCGGCTCCAGCCTCTCCTCTAAGTATAAGAATGCCTTGACCCAGCAATTCCACTTCTGGGTATTTATCTGAAGGAAATGAAAACATAACTCAAAAGGATATACGCACCCCATGTTCATTGCAGCATTATTCACAGTAGCCAAGACATGGGAGCGACCCAAGTGTCAGTGATGGATGAATGGATAAAGAAAATGTGGTATATGTGTATACAGCAGTATTATTTAGCCATTAACAGAAGGAAATCTTCCCATTTGTGGCAACACGGATGGACCTTGAGGGCGCTATGCTAAGAGAAATGTCAGACGGAGAAAGACAAACACCGTATGACCTCACTTGTATGTGGAATCTAACATATATGGACGTATTTCTGTGCACGTTAATCCCTTCCAGTCTTAGCCCTCTTCACAGGTCTCCAAGTGTGTCTGCGTCTGTGAACTCACATGAGCGTGCCAGCAGCTCTCTGAGTCGGTGGCATACCCTCATTTGTATAGCTGGGGAGACTGAGGCTCAGAAAGGTGAAGTGAGAAGAAATACTCCTGGGAGGGTCCACGTGTAATGAAGCCTTGTCTGATGTCCCTGCCGCTGCCCTTCCCACGCCCAGAAAGTAAAGACAAGGGTCAGGAGGGGCCCTGAGGGAGGGGAAGGGCTGGCTCAGAGGCTGCCCTGCTTGGCCAAGTCCAGCTCCGCCCCCCACCCCCTCCTTGCCTGCTCCATACAGCAAGGTCCCCCATGTGCCGACGTGACGATGGTCGAGGGTGAGCCCTGTTCAGATCACCCTGGGAGAGTCGAGGTCGAGCCCACTTAGCAGGTCCGGCTGGCACACCTGCACAGCAGCGCAGAAACCACTGTCCTGCAACCCCGACCCGGCTTTCCAGCAGCGATCGCCTCCAGCTCTTGGCCCGTGAGGTGTGGGCCTTTGCACGGCTGCTCAGTCATTTGCTCAGTCATTCAGCAAACATTCCTGGAGCACCTACTCTGTGCTAGAAGGACCAAGCATGACCCAGCCGAGCCCCTGCCATGGCCTCTGCCCTCAAGCGGCTCAGAATCCAGTGGAGGAGAGGAGACAACTAACCACAGCCCTCGGGGATCCCAATCCTACACTCACTGAGCCTCCGCTGTCTGTCAGTCCTCCCGAGTCTCACTCTCCTTGTCTTTAGAGTGGGGTGACAGCCCTGTGTGACGGGACTCGGTAAGAGAAGGGACGGGGAGTCCAGCCCAGGATGTGCGCAGCGAATGACAGCACTGAAGGTGAGGCTGGGGAAGCCTCGCCTCCGGCCCATCCCAGGCCCGCCCTCTCCAGCTGCCCTGCCTCTGCTTGACCGCTCCAGAGAGGAGGGAAGGCACCAAGTCCAGAGGCCCTGGTGAGACGCCCGTTTCTCCAGGAGCGGGGTCCACTGGCTTCCTCCTTCCCACTGGCAGATTGGCAGGCTGCCACTTTGAAACACAGGCCAGGCAGAGGGGAAGGGGTGGGAGGCAGAGACCCGGGGAGTCCCAGAGGGGTCGGGAGACAACCGAAAGCAAGCTGCTCTTGTTGCACAGAACGTTTGGTGAAATGAATTTCTTATTTTGCTAAAGAGGATTTGGAATATGGAGCAGACCCCTGAGGGGGAACCGCCCTCGTGCCCACCAAGCCCTCAGGGACTCCCCAGCTCCAGGAGACCAGCTTTCTTCAGTTTCCTCAGCTGCGAAATGGGCAGGTCTGGCTGGCTCCACCGGGACCTGGGGATGCAGAACCCCAGCCCCTGGGAAAGCCCTGCCAACACATGTTCCTGGGAGCCCTGGCCGGCGTAGGGGATGCCCAGGAGCGCTCACAGCTGCATCCCGCACTCTGCATTTTTCTGCCCCTCCTCGCCCACCCCCAACACCCCAGGAGCGAGTTGCCAGCCATGGACTCTTCCATATTTGGAGCCCAGAGGAAGGTCTGGAGTCCTGTGGGCTGTGGCCACTCCACCCACAGGTTGGCCCACACTGTGGTGTTATTAAGATGTTTGCATGAGCTGCCAACTTTAAATATTAGGAAGCACCACATCAAAAGTCCCGATATATAACTTCTCTTGAAAATGCAGAGAATTGGGCTCCCATCCCCACGGCAATGTTGGCAGGAGCTGGGAGCGCTGCTGAGCAGGTTTCAAAGAGGCGCCCGTCTGTCTGTGTGGGCATTTGAGTTTGCCTCTCTGCGTCTCATCCGATCTGCTCCCCTTCACAGCATTCCAGACCTGTCTCTAGCTAGTGTCTGCTTGAATGCCTCTGGTGACAGTGGGCTTACTACATCTTTGAGGCAGTTGGTCTGAGCTATTAGAAAAGGGTTCCTAATTTGGGCTGTCTTCCTTCTTTCTGTAGTAAAGGAAGGCGCATAGGAAAGAAGTGGGCGGTAGAGTCCAGCAGATCTGAGTCTGAGCACCTCTCTAGCATTTAACCAGCTGTGTGATCCAAGGCAAATGCTGGCCTTTCTGCTCTTTACCTTCCTTGGCTGCACCTCTCCTGCAGGGCTACACGAGGCTTAAAGTAGAGCAAGTTTATGAAGCGCCAAAAGCAGGGTCTGGCACACGGCACGCACGCCCCAGGCAGCCTTTATCAGTCTACAGAACCGTAAGCCATGAGTCCAACTCTTCCTGGGCGAGCACAGGAGCTGGGAGTGAGTCAGAGGGTGCTGAGCAATGGTCTGTGCCAGCAGGGGGTCAGAGGCGGAGTCAGCACTTGCCCCCAGCAGCACCCACACTTGAGGGCCAGCCCCCAGGAGCTGCAGTCTCTTATCTGCTTCCCGGACAGCTGGCCCACCAGGTGCTCACAGGTGATAGAGAGGGTGGGAGGGACCCAGGAAGGAGCCCTGCGTCCTGACCCTGCCCTTCCCCACAGCCTGCAGCCTTCCCAGGATGAGATCCCTGCTCCTGGGAACGGAACTGGAGGTGGGGAAAGTCAGGGGAGGAAAAGCAGGGGGTGAGCTCCAGCATCCAAGCACAGCTGCCGTCACTGGCCACCTGGCTGTGGGTCCTTGAATTTAATTCTCACAACCACCCTAGGTCGTGGATACTGTTATCCCTGTTCTACAGGCATGGGAGGTGAGGCTCAGAGAGCTTAAGAAACTTGCCCAAAGCCACACAGCCGAGATTTAACTGCTTGTCTGGGGTCCCCGAGCCTGAGCTCATGACCACCGCACTCTAAGGCCTCCCTGAACGCGGGGCCCCCTGAACGCGGGGCCCCCTGAACGCCCAGGCGTTGGGGTTGGGGGGGGGAAGGGAGAGAGTTTTTAACTAAAAGTGCTTCTGAGCTCCTCTCTGATCCCCTGCCCGTGAGCTAGTGTGTGCTATCCGAGTGTGCCACCGCACGAGGCACCTTGAGTGGGCGCGTGCGTCTGAGGGTGGTGCGTGTAAGAGTAAGTGTGTGTGTGTGCGCGCGCGCAGGGACTCCCCCGTGGGTCTGCGGTCCCGGCGCGCAGCGGCTCCGAGTCCACGTGCGGCCGTGGGGCGCGGGGCGCGCGCCGCCCCCGAAGGTGCGGGCGGGTGAGCGCGGTGGGTGCGAGCTTGCGCACGTGCGGCGGCGGGGTCCGCGGGCCGGGTGTCCGCCGCGCGGGCTCCGTGTCCCCCCGCCCGCCTCGGTGCTGATTGGCTCGGCTCCGTGACGGGCCGGCCCCCGCCCGGGGCGGCGGCGGCGGCGGCGGCGGGCGCGGGTGCCCGCGTGTGCGCTGTGTGCCGGCGTGTGCGCCGGTGTGTGCGCCCGGCCGCCGGGTGTGCGGGAGAGCCAGGGAGCGCGCCGACGCGCGGGCCGCCGCGGCCGAGCCCGAGGGTGCGCGGCGCCCCCGCCCGCCCGGCCGGCCATGGCCCCCGCCCGGGGCCGCCTGTCCCTCGCGCTCTGGGTCGTCACGGCCGCGGCGGCGGCGGCCACCTGCGTGTCCGCGGCGCGCGGCGAAGGTGAGCGGCGGCGGCGGGGCGGGGGCGGCCGAGGGGTCGGGGGCGCGGGGGGCGCTGCCCGAGGCTCAACTTCCTTCCCCTGGACCCTGAGCGCCAAACGGGCTGGGTTCCCTGGGCCTAGGGGGGCCGGGATGGCACCGCGGGAGAGACCCAGGGTCAAGGGACAGAGCGATGGAGATGGTGACAGGACTAGGGGACAGGCACCAGAGGGCTTGAGGATGAGGGACAGGGGGACAGGGCTGAGGGATTCCGAGCTGGGGACAGAGAATTGGACACTGGGGAAGAGGGGACAGGATAGGGGGACAGAAGACAAGGGAAGAGGTATTGAGGAAAGAGGGGACAGAGAGACAGGGCAAGGGAGAGGACCAGGGGACAAGGGCGGGCACAGAGGACGGAGACAGAGTGACCCAGGGACACAGGGATGCAGGATGAGGTTCAGAGGGCTGAAGAAAAAGGGATCTGGGGATGGCGCTGAGAGATGGGGAGCACAAACTGAGAAACAGGACCAGAGAACAGGATGGGGTTTAGGGGAGGGCAGGAATGGGGGGCAGTGAGTGAGTCTGGGGAGCTGCGGGGCTGGAAGACTGGGGGCAAAGGAGGGACAGCAGCCAAGGAGGAGCAGCCGGAGGGGTGGCAGCTTTGGTGGGCAGGAGGGCTGGCCTTGGGAGGAAGGGCCATTGAGGAGAGGGTGAGTGGCTGCAGAGGGACTGAGGCAGGCAGGGCCCTGAAGGGCAAGGCCAGGGTGGTCCAGTCACTTGGGGGACATGGGGGTGGGGGGTAGGAGCATGGGTGTGGGCTGAGCAGTCAGGTCCAAAGGGGTCTGGGAGGTGACCAGAAAGCCTGGGAGGGGGCACCCATCAGGGTTCCCCAACAGCCGGGGCCTCCCAGCTGCACACACACACCCCTCTTAGCCCCACTGGACGCTCCAGGTCCAGCCCAGGATGCCCCCCTGCTCCTGCTCCTGCCCTGTCTGCCACCCTGGGCCTCCTCTGCTCCCCCAGCTCTGCCCCGAGGAGGCCCACTTGGCACTCTGTGCAGGACCCCGGGGTGACGTCCTGGGTTCAGCGCTGGGTTCCCAGCCTGGCAGGATGAACTTCCAGAAGCGAGGGAGCTCCAGAGCCCGTGTCCCTTATCCCCACTCGGCTCTACCGCAGATCTACCCCTCACACGCGGACAGCTCACGGAGGTACAGCTGTATCCACTAGCACACACGCACACACGGACACACGTCGGGATTCACGCACATGAACCCAGGCCTGTAGAGACTCACACGCATGCACAGCTCCCCCCACACCAGCCACAGTCATGTGCACAGCCATGCAGCCAGCATACATGTGCACAAACACACATGTGCACACACATACGTGTACAGATGCATGCAAATTCATGGGCAGATAGCACATATATAAGGAGACCTTCAAACTTGCGTTCATGCCCACGGAAATGCATGTGCACAGAAAAAACACACACGGAGATAAATTCAGTCTCCAGTGAAACGGGATGTGCAAGGGAGCTGCAAGGCAAGGTGGCAGGCAGGGCAGGGCCAGCTGGGGGGATAGTGATGAGGTGCAGGTGCCTGGGACACCAGGAGAGAACTGAGGAGGGGGCTGGGTGAGTAGGGAAGAGGACAGGATGGGGCACAAGGGGCCTGGGGGCTCTCGGAGTGTGGCCTGAGAAGACTGCTTTCCCAGGGTAGGGTGGGGGGAAGGGGACGGTCAGCCAGGAGGATGCTGAGGGGCCTGCGTCAAGGCTGCCAGTGCTGGGCCGTGCACCCCAACTCCTTGCTTCAGCTCTGTTCTCTGGGGAGGAGCCAGCACCCTCTAGAATTGCAGACTGGCAACCCCAGAGCCTCCTAGGGAGGGGACTTTGACCATCGGCCTGGGAGAGAGGACGTGTCAGGGAGGGCAACAGCTGGGGAAGAGGCGATGTCGGCAAAGAGAGGCAGGCAGGAAGTCTTTGTCCAGGATGGAGGGAGGCATCGTCCAAGGGCCAGTCCATGCCTGTCCAATGGATGCAGCAGGGTACCCCAGCGAGACAGGGGTTACCCACGTAGGTGGGACAGCCCTGGGTGGAGGCCTGGGGTGTAGGTTCTACACGGGACCGCCAGGAGTCCTTCCTAGTGTCATCCCTGGGCTGGTGCAGAGCCAAGACCAGCCAGGGAGGTTGTTGGAACTCAGGCAGGGGGCTCTGTTCCCAGCTGGGGTCCTGCAGAGGTGACAGTGCCCCAGCCCAGCCAAGTGCCCCTATGCCAGGTCCCTCACAGGGCTGGGGGAGGGCCCTGCAACTACAGAGATGCCCCCTGAGTCCCACCAGGCTCACGGCCCCTTATCACTCTCCGGTGTGGATTACCCACCACTTTGGGGTAATCTCCGAGGCATTCACATCCTGGCTGCCATCCCCTGACCACCCCGAATTCTCCAGCCTCACCATCATGCGCCGCGTCCTCGGGGAATGTAAATCAATTTAAGTATTAGTCTCAGCGAAATGGAATGGGGGAAGGTGAAAAGAAATCACATAATGCCTTCCACAGTGGAACAGGAGAGGCTGAGGAATTATCTGTGCTTCTCAGAGCAGGAGAGGGGCCCGTCTGATCCCCCAGAGCAGCCCAGGCAGACTGGCTGGAGAGGGATGCTACAGACGTCCTGCAGCTGAGGAGGCTGACGCACAGAGGGGTTAAGTGGCTCACTTTGTTGAAGGCCCCGAGAGACTGTCCAGTCCGGTCCTTCCATTCGCCAGTGGGGAGACAGGCCCAGAGAGGGGAATTGACTTCACACATGTCACACAGTCCAGCCGCACAAGAGGCAGGAGAGAGCCCAGGCCTGGTGACCAGAGAGTCTTGAGTTTCCAGGAGGACTCAGGCCACGGCTGGGTGAGCCTGATGCTGGAATTCTCTCCAGCCCTCAGGGACCCTCTTGTGGGCCTGGAGCTTCCCGTGGGGGACACTGTATTTTCCCCACGGGAGGGAACGTGAGGTGGAGCAGAGGGGGCAGAGGGAGAGAAGGGGAGGGAGAGAGAAGGGCCTGGAAGGAATTGGAACAAGCAGCCGTGGAATCCTATAGCTCTTCCTGACTCTGATAGAATCGACTTTTGACTTATCTTTGGATTATCTGAGCCCTCTAGCTGACTGATCAAGAATCAGCCACATATGTGGGGCCTCCCAGGGGAGGGAAGGCCCTAGCAAGTGGGGTCTGCAGGCGGCTGCCCCTGGAGTCAGGGTGTTCCAGGGGGAGAAGTCCAGGCGGTGGACGGTCATTCGGATCGCCCCCCGCGTCGGGGCAGGACTGAGCTGCGTCCAGGGTAGGCTGGAGAAGGGGCCGCCTGGCTCTGAGACCCCGCCTGGGATGCGGGTTGGAGTGGGGGAGCCCACAGGTCCCCTCACCCCATCCTCTCCCCCAACTAGGCCCTGCTGGTCTGGGGGAAACTGCAGTGCGGCCCCCTCCCCCTCCCACCAGCCAGCAGGAGGAGAAGGCTCGCCTGACCCAGTTTTCTCTCATTGCCTGAGAGGGAGGGAGGGAGGCGGGAAGGCGCTCTGCCTGCGCCCCTGGAGTGGGGCTGGTTCGGGGAGGGGAGATCCCTCTGTGGACGTTGGCTCTGTCCCCTGATCCCACCGGGCCCCTGGGGACCCAGGGAGGAGCACAGAGGCCCCTCCCTGGTTCTGCAAGCCGTCTTTCCAGCCTGCCGGCCTCCTGGGCCCCTGACAGTGGGGTGGGGAGGGAGAAAAGCAGCAAATAAGAGCATCCTCACTCCAGCATTTCCTGAGGACACTTGTCTCCATCTTTGAGGGGCAGGCGCAGAGCTATGCACATCGCAGGCAGAAGGACACCCAGCCTCCCTGCAGGAAAGTTCCAGTAGGGCCCCAGCTTTAACCCTCTGTGACCTGCCCAAGCCGGCCGACTGGGTTAGTTGGAAGCCCATGATTGCTGGCTGCGAGAAGGGGTGCGTGGAAGAGAGAGTGAAATGGAAAGCCTTCCTGGAGAGATCTAAGGCAGCAGGGGCCCAGAGAGGTGAAGAGACTCACCCAAGGACACACAGCAGTTAGAGACAGCTGGGATTCAAGCCCTAATTTCTTAACAGCCAGCTAGGGCACTTCATCACTGTAAAGTGGGTGGGTGGGTCCAAGGTACGTGGAGAGAGGTGGGAGGGGCAGAGGCATTGACTCCAGCTTCACAGCTTACCCTCACCCACCCCAAGGCGTTATTATCCTCATTTTACAGATGAGGAACTTGAGGTTCAGAGAGTGAGGGTCACCTGCCACTAAGTAGCCATGTGGAAATGTGAGACCAGCGGCGTCTGAGTCTGGAGGCCGCTCTTCTCTCTGCCGTGTTGTTGAGACCCTGCAGGGTCCTCTCGGAGGGTCTGGCTTAGAAGAGACTGGCCTTCCGGGCCAGCGCCCCTTCCCCGCCATGACTGCTCGGAGGGCCTGCTTCCTGGGTCCGTGGACACCGCAGCAGGTGCGCTGGAGGCCAGCCCTGCCGCCACACCTGTGCAGCTCCAGGCTTGTTCCTGAACTTCCTGAGGCCCAGTGTGTTCATCATAAAATGGAGATAGGAACGACCACCTCTCGGGGTTGTCGTGCGGGTCACAGACGAGCATCTCAAGTGCCCCTCTCAGAGCTCAGGTGCCCACAAGAGGCAGCCCTTGTGCCTGGCAGTCCTGCATCGGGTGTGCACAGGGGCCTGTTAGATGCCGGGCACCTCCTGGGGGACACCAATGGTTGCAGAGCTGGGCCCAGCCCGCCTGGGGAGGTATGCCCTCACAGCCAGTGCTTTGCATGCCATCCTGTCCCATGAGTGAGACAGGGCTGGGCCCTCCTCACAACCCCTGCGAGACAGGAACCACGATCACCCCCATTTTCCAGAGGAGGAAACTGAGGCCCGGGGAGGGGAAGGGGCTTGTTCAGGGACACATAGCTCCTAAGTGGGTGAGCTGGGATTCTGACCTGGGCCTCCCAGTTCCTGAACCCATCCCTCAGCCACCCACCGCACCACCAGCAGGGCGCTGTGCCCGGGGCGGCTTGGGTTCCAGGGGTTTCGAAGATCACGTGTTGGCCGAGGTGGTGGAGGAAGGCTTCAGGGAAGAGAGGAAACGTGAGCTGAGCCTTGAAGGATGGGGGAAGGGAGACAGGACACAGAGACGCGGGCTGGCATGTGTGGGGCTGAGAGCAGACCAGTGGGGCCGGGTCGGGCCGCTCTTGAGGGCCTGGGGAAGGGGGTCCTCCGGTCTGATGCTCTCTTGTCTCCTGTTTTACAGTGAACTTGCTGGATACGTCAACCATCCACGGGGACTGGGGCTGGCTCACGTATCCGGCTCACGGGGTAAGTGATGGGCAGTGGGCCAGTGTCGTCCCTCCGAGCAGAGAGAGGCTGTGATTCCGAGCCTTATCATCAGATCAAAAGGAAGCAGAAGCCCAGGGAGGAGAAGGGACTCTCCCAAGGACACACAGCAGTTAGGACAGAGGTGCAGCTGCTGATTTCTTAACGGGTCAGTGCACGCAGACCCTTGGGATTGCAAACCACCCTGGTGCTGGACTCCTGATTCTTCAAGTCTGAGGCCCTGGATGTGGGATCCTCATGTCTGTGTCCTTGGCCTACAGATTGATGATGTGCCACAGCCGGGCCCAGGGTAAACTGGGACGAGTCAGTGTCAAGGAACAGGGCAGGAGGGGGCCCCAGCCAGGCCCTTCACCACTTCAGAATTGACCCCCTCCGTCATAGCTGCCCCGCCCTCACCAGGAGCTGCCAGGACTCCCAGGGCCCCCGCTCATTTCTCTCTTCATCAGAACCACCACGTGGCACTGCCCGCTCCCACTGTGGCTGAGCCCCCGGGCCCACCTGGCCTCCATGGTGACCCGTCGGGTCCCTGTGGGTCATGTACTCATGGGCGACGCCCCCTCCCACCCTCCTGGGGGTGGGTCTGGTAACCCCCTGGCATCCAGGGACAAGGCTGCACTGCCCGGTCCCTCCGCTTCTCTTATCCAGATCCCAGAGGGCAGGGTGGTCAAGCCAAAGTGAGCCCACGGGCCCGGCGGGGGCCCGGCTCTGCCATCGATGAGCTGGGTGGCCCTGGGTCACCACTTCACCTCGCTGAGCCTCAGTTTCCTCATATGTATAAAAGGATGAGCGTGTGACGATGTCAGGGGGATTGCTGCGAGAGTGAGGGGCGAGGACAGGTGGTCTTGGCGCCGTGCCTGGCACACGGCGAGCCCCCTCTAACTGTGTTATTACTGTTGTCTTTGTTGTTAGTGCTTGTTGTGATTGTATCTCACCTGGATTGCCTTCCACAGACATGCTCAGAAACACACACCCACATCCCCACCACAGACACGAGACACATGCACACAGCTTCAATCATGAACGCTTCTGCTTCCATGGCTGGAGACGGAGGGATAATAATATTATTCATAATAGTAATGATAATGACACCAAGAGTTACTATTTGTGAAGGGAGGGTTTCTTTATTTTGGGGTAGGGTTTTCATCCGGGCCGTTTGTTTCATGTGGCCTGCGGCTGGAGTCAGGACGGAGCCTGCTCCTCTCTCTCTGGGGGTCTCGTCCCAGGGTAGCAGGTAGCTGAGTGTGCTGTCATCAGCCCCCGGCACCAGGCTTCCAGGAGTTGTAGGGCTTTAAGCAGGTGAGGCACGTGACCGGCCTTGTGCTTGATGGTCATGCTGGGACTCCAAGGTTCTTTGTTCACAGGGCACAGAGTTCTCACATTTCGTTTGGGAGTTAGACAAATAATAACTTATATTCGCATAGCTCTTAGCAATTCACAGACGTTGTCTCATTTAATCCCCAAACCAAGCCTGTGAGTAGACACAGCAACCCCATTTCACAGGCGAGGAAGCCAAGGCTTGGGGCGTGAGGAGTAGCCTGCCCGCCCTCAGCCAGGCTCCACGCGATGGACTCGAACTCAGATCTGTCTGGGCCTGGAGCCCGTGTTGAGTCCCTCGTCCTCTCTTTGGTCCGTGTCCTCACTGTGAGGGGGTGGGAGGCAATCCTGCATTGTCTGCCGAGCCAGGGACCATCTCCCATCCTCATGGGGCCTGGAGATCGAGCTTGTCCCGACGGGAAAGAAGGCTGGATAAGATCCCTGGTTCCCAAACTCTGGACCTTGATCTGTGCCAGGCTGGCAGGTGAAACGTGCAGATGCCCATGTCCAGGGGGACTGGGGAGGAGCCTGGGAATCTTTGGTTTAATAAGCTTTCCAGGTGATTCTCCCGCCCTGCCGGGTAGGGAGCTCTGGACACGGGCCTGGTGGTCCCGTCCATGCCTCTGCTGCTGGAGTCGGTTAAACAGCCTGAGTACAGGGGTCATCAGGGCTGTCTCCAGCATCAGCAAAGTTGCCAGATTGTCAGGCAGGCCGCACAGCCTGAAGGCCAAGGGTGCTGGGGCTGGATGAGCCGATGGTCTGTGGCCTCTAATTGGTGAGACTCAGGCAAGTCACTTCACCCCGCCTCCTCATTTATAACATGGGCGTGATCACAGAACCTGCCCCGGGCGGTTGTCGTCAGGGAGGATGCTTGGGAAGGACACTTTGCTGATGAGAAACCAGCAGCCCTGAGAGCTTAAGGTCAGGGGAGGTCTGGCCCAGAACCCATGCTCTTAATCAGGCCGCGCCCCTCCCTCCACATGCTGGGATGTGCCCCACCTCGTCTGGCGATTGACAGCCGCTCACAAACGCCGGCTTAGATCAGAAGGCACACTTGTTTCCATTCCGTCGTCTCACTTGATCCTCACCACCCCCTGGAGTAGATGGAGGGGGCAGGCATTAGCTGCCCTGTTTCACATGTGAGAAGCCTGAGGCTCAGAGACGGGGTGTGCTGTACCTGGGGCTGCACAGCTGGTTTGCTGCATTCTGTTCCAGAAAGAGGACAGAGTTCCAGAGCAATGGTTGGGGTTGGGGAGGAATGTTCCCAGGGGCTGGGGAGGCAGCAGAGTGGGAGTGGCACCCAGCATGGGGTGGGGGCGCCCCAGGTGGCGAGCAGGCCTGATTCCACCCTTGCGCCAGCCTCCGGGAATTTGTGCCACCCTGGGTGCCTGCAGCAGCCCCTGGGGCTGGCGGGTCTAGGCCAGGCCATTGGCACCGGTGGGGCGGCTGGAGAGGACTCTGATCGAGCTGATTAATTTATCTGGGTCCCTGGCAGGAAACAGACAGGGAGCAGCTGGCTGGCTCTTTGGCGCTCCATTAATTGTGACATTGACTTTAACCCCAGATGTGACATAGCGCTGCCCAGAGACCCCATCTACAGTGTGGGGTGCAGGGCAGGGGTCCTTTTGGGATGCGGGGTGCAGGAGGCATAAACTCTTTCAGGTGAGGCTGGCGTGCCCTGGGCCTCTTCCCCAGTGGTCCCTGGAGGCAGGTATGGGTGGGCTGGGAAGATGCTGCCAGGTCAGCATCATGTAGTCCTTTCCCCGTGGTGCCTTCCCGTGCCAGGCCAGGCTAAGCACTTTGCAGGCTTCTCGTCCTTTCGCCCTCTCACGCCTCGCTGAGGTGGGGCCCGTCTGAGCCCCAGTTTACAGATGTGCGCGCTCAGTGTTGAGACCACACGGCTGGCCAAGACGGGGTGGGACGGAAGGGCTTTGTCAGACAGGAAAGACTTGACGTGCCCGTGGTCCCCACTCTTGTGCTTGTGCAGTAGCTCAGAACCCCACAGACTCTCAGATCACCATGAGGAGTGGTCTTTACCTCCCTGCCCCAGACCCCCCTCAGCGATCGGATCTCAGGTTCAGGGACAATTGCACACAGAGGCCCAAGAGAGAGAATCAGGGCGTTACATCTCTGGTGAAGCTGGGACAGGGACCCAGAGCCTGTCCCCTCCATCTGCCCTTCGCCCCCAGCACCTCCTCAGGGCCCTCAGGTGTCCACTCAGCCAAAAATGGCTGCTCCCGACGAACCGGCATTCTGCAGCGAGGAAACTGGGGCCAGAGAGGAGCAGCGACTTGCCCAAGGTCACACAGCAGGTTAGAGATTGTGCTGGGCCTAGAGCCGGGCCTCTCAACTCCCAGCTCACTTCTCAACACTGCGTCTTCGATGTGACTCTTCTGTGTCCAAACCGATGCTCCCTGGCCAGTACCTAACACCCCCAGCCTCGCTGGGGCTCTTCCTCCCATCCCTGCAAGAGGGTCCTGCTTCAGCCTCGCAGCAGCTTTCGCCCGCCCCCCGGATGCCTGCTCCCTCCACCGCCTTGTCTGACGGACTGTGAGGCGTTGGAGGGAGGGAGTATTTCTGGTGTATTTCTTTCTTTTTTAAAAAAGTTGTAGTAAAATACACATAACATAAAATTTAGCTTCTTAACCATTTTTAAGTGTACAGTTCAGCGGCATTAAGTACGTTGACCCTGTTGCATGACCGTCACCATCCCCCATCTCCAGAACGCCTTTCATCTTCCCGAACTGAACTCCTGTTCCCGTTGAACACGAACTCTCCATTCCCCCCGCCCCCAGCCCCTGGCAACCACCGTTCTGTTTCCCGTTTTCATGAATCTAAGTACCTCGTAGACGTGGAATCGTATGGTATTTGTCTTCTTGTGGCTGGCTTATTTCACTTTGCATAATGTCCTCTAGGCTCACCCATGCTGTCGGTCGCATCTGAATTTCCTTCCTTTATGAGACTGAGTATCATCCCAGTGTCTGGATGGACCGCATTTTGTTTATCCATCCCCCCGGCGATGGGCGCATTTGGGTGGTTTCCCCCTTTTGGCTGTTGTGAACAATGCTGCTGTGAACACGGGTGTACAGATATCTCTTTGAGGTGCCCCTTTCAATTCTTGTGAGTATATACCCAGCGGTGGAATTGCTGGGTAGTATGGTCATTCCATGTTTAACTTGCTGAGGAGCCACCATACAGTTTCCCTCAGCAGCTGCACCATTTTACATTCCCGCCAACAGTGCACGAGGGTTCCACTTTCTCCCCCTCCTCGCCAACATTTGTGATTTTCTGTTGTTTTGATAACAGCCGCCCTAATGGGTGTGAAGTGGCATCTCGTTGTGGTTTGGATTTGTGTTTCCCTAAGGATGAGTGATGCTGAGCATCCTTCCATGTGCTGTTTGGCCATCTGTGTATGTTCTTTGGAGAAATGCCTATTCAAGTCCTTTGCCCGTTTTTTAATTGGGCTGTGTGGTTTTTTGTTGTTGAGTTGTAGGAGTTCTTTGTATATTCTGGATATTAATCCTTTCTCAGATATATGATTTGCAAATATTTTCTCCCATCCCATGGGTTGCCTTTCACTCTGTTGATGGGGTCTGGTTTATTTCTGGATCACTGATGCCTGGCTCGCACCTGGCACAGAAGCAGCCACACTCAACTCTCCCACATTCTGGTGCTCCCGTTAGTGGAACGCAGGCTGGCCCACGAGCTGCCCGCCTTAGGCGAGGGCAGAGGGAACATCAAGAAGAGCACGGCAGAGGGAGTCCGTCCATCGCGCAGTCACTCAGTAAACACCAATGCAGGGCTGCTGCTGAAGGACGTGCTGCAGGGCTGCAACAAGGTCAGGGTCACGTGCTAGAAAGATCTCTCTGGCAGCTGATTTGGAAACCACCAGTGGGCTCACTGACTTCCCCAGCAAGGTCCCCCCACTCTGGGAGCGATGGGAGCAGCCACATGGAAACGAGGTCAGAGTGTTGTAGCTCTGGCATCGGTTCCAGTCGTGGCTCCGTCACTCACCAGCTCTGTGACCTCAGACATGTGGCTCACGTGTCTGACCCTCTATTTCCTCATCTGCAAAAAGGCAGCAAATAACAGTTCCCCAGAAGGATGTGACGCTCTCTGAGGTCGCATCTGTGGGTGCCAGGCATCTGGTGGCTGTGACAAGCCACTAGAAGATCAGCTCCTCCAGGGCGGAGAAGGTTGTGGCTCCTTCCCCAGGACCCCTGCCCCCCAGCACGTGCGTGTGGCCCGTGGCAAGGGTGACTGGCAGGAGGGCGAGGAGCCGACTCTCGTTTCAGCCGGCTGTGCTCTCTGCCCGCAGTGGGACTCCATCAACGAGGTGGACGAGTCCTTCCGGCCCATCCACACGTACCAGGTGTGCAACGTCATGAGCCCCAACCAGAACAACTGGCTTCGCACCAGCTGGGTGCCCCGCGACGGCGCCCGGCGCGTCTACGCTGAGATCAAGTTCACGCTGCGGGACTGCAACAGCATGCCCGGCGTGCTGGGCACCTGCAAGGAGACCTTCAACCTCTACTACCTGGAGTCGGACCGCGATCTGGGCTCCAGCACGCAGGAGAGCCAGTTCCTCAAGATCGACACCATCGCGGCCGACGAGAGCTTCACGGGTGCGGACCTGGGCGTGCGGCGCCTCAAGCTCAACACGGAGGTGCGCGGCGTGGGCCCCCTCAGCAAGCGTGGCTTCTACCTGGCCTTCCAGGACATCGGCGCCTGCCTCGCCATCCTGTCCCTCCGCATCTACTACAAGAAGTGCCCCACCATGGTGCGCAACCTGGCGGCCTTCTCGGAGGCGGTGACAGGCGCCGACTCGTCCTCGCTGGTGGAGGTGCGGGGCCAGTGCGTGCGGCACTCTGAGGAGCGGGACACGCCCAAGATGTACTGCAGCGCCGAGGGCGAGTGGCTGGTGCCCATCGGCAAGTGCGTGTGCAGCGCCGGCTACGAGGAGCGGCGGGACGCCTGTGTAGGTGAGCGCCCCGCAGCCGGGCGGCCCGGGTGTGGGAGGCGTCATGGTCAGCGGGCGGCTGGGGGGTGGACACAGCGCCTGGGAAGGCGGGGGGACCTTGGGGTTCCTGTGTCAGCAGATACTCCAGGCCACGTGTGTGTGCATGTGCATGCGTGTGTGTGCGCGCGTGTGTGGTGCAGGGAGAGGGAGGAGAGAAGGAAGTACTATGGCAGGCGACCCCGTCCGTGGGCAGGGTGGAGACGTACTTCTAAGGACCCCTGGGTGATTGAGTACGCTCCTGAGTACTTACTGTGAACTAACTTGTGTCGGGCATTGTTCTAAGGACCCCTGGGTGACTGAGTACGCTCCTGAGTACTTACTGTGAACTAACTTGTGTCGGGCACTGTTCTAAGGACCCCTGGGTGACTGAGTACTCTCCTGAGTACTTACTGTGAACTAACTTGTGTCGGGCATTGTTCTAAGGACCCCTGGGTGACTGAGTACTCTCCTGAGTACTTACTGTGAACTAACTTGTGTCAGGCACTGTTCTAAGGACCCCTGGGTGATTGAGTACGCTCCTGAGTACTTACTGTGAACTAACTTGTGTCGGGCACTGTTCTAAGGACCCCTGGGTGACTGAGTACGCTCCTGAGTACTTACTGTGAACTAACTTGTGTCGGGCATTGTTCTAAGGACCCCTGGGTGACTGAGTACGCTCCTGAGTACTTACTGTGAACTAACTTGTGTCGGGCATTGTTCTAAGCACCCCTGGGTGACTGAGTACTCTCCTGAGTACTTACTGTGCACTAACTTGTGTCGGGCACTGTTCTAAGCACTTTTCACATATCAACACATTTAAGCCTCACAACTACCCTATGAAATAGCAAATACTGTTGTTCTGGTTTTATGGATGAGTCTAAGGCACAGAGAGACGAAGCAACTTGCCCAAGGTTGCACAGCTAGGAAGTGGCAGAGCTAGGACTTGAACTCAGAAGTCTGGCCTCCAGAGTCCATGCTCAAAACGACTGACCTTCTAGCCCATGGAGTGTGAGGAAGGACAGGCCCTGGGTGAGGGTGTGTGGTGTGGGGCCACTGTGGAGGTGTGCGGCAGGGCGCTCAGGGAGCACTGCCCAGGTTGGGTACGTCACTGGGGCACCTGGAGCAGCCTGCCTATGTTCAGGGGGCGCTTATCCAGTGAGCTGTGGGAGAGGACAGCCAAGGTGCCTGTGAGGGAGGACAGCAGAGAGAGAGACCCTGGTCATGAAGTGGCCTGGCACTTGTCCCCGTGGGGCTGCTGCTGGGGCCCCCACGTCAGACCAGCAGCAGGGCCCAGACCCCAGGCCCTGTGTGCGGGTGTCACAGCTGCACTGTGCCCCGTGTGGGAGCAGGGCAGCCAGGCGCCCTGAGAGCCGGGAACCCTGGGGGAGCTGTGTGGGCAGACACCTGGGGCCCCAGCTGTTACTGGTCTCCGCCTGGTTGACCTCTGCCCTTCCTCGGCCTCCCCAGGGACTGGAAACGTGGCAGCTCAGCCCCTCAGAGCAGTGAAGCCTGTTGTTGGGGTCATGAGTTCTCTGGGGGAGGAGGATGTGCCTTTGCAGGGGTCAGAGAGATCCGGGCCTGTCCCCGGGCAGCCTCAGTGAAAACTGGGACAGGGCCCTGTCAGCCCCCAGGAATATCCTCCGAGCTCTGTGGCCCTGAGGCCACAGTCAGAGGGAGCTTCAGCCCCCTCAGCTCCATCCCTCTGCCCCTAGCAGGCAGGACAGGCCCCTTGGTGCTCGCAGGCCGGAGCAGGGCACAGGCTGACCATTTCAGTGATGCACAAGGTGGTGCTCGGGGACCAGGCCCTTCCATCCAGCCCCCAGGCCCTGCCCAGCCCCTCTCTGGGGCTCTCTGGCTTCCTTAAGGAATCTTTCTTCATGCTCCCAGCGGCTGCAAGCCTTCCCCTCTCCTGGACCCTACACCCCAAAGCACCACCTGTGACATTTGCCTCTTTCTGGAGTTGTTGTACCCTCTCTGGCCTCATTTGCCAGGCTTCCCAGGCCTCTAGCCTCTCCTGGGTCCTCTCACAGACATCCCTGACTTTTCAACTTCCCACTGGGTAATAGTAATGACAAACATCCCTATTGCCTTTACAGCCTGCAAGGGGGTTCCTCACACATCAGTTCATTTGCTCTTTGTAGCAAGGCGGGTATTACAATTCCATTTTACAGAGGGGGAAACTGAGGCTCGAGAGGTAGTGTCGCCTGCTTCGGTCTCACAGCTGGTGAGAGGTGGGGCTGGGACCTGAGTCAGGTCGGTCCGCCTCTGAGCCATGTGTGGGCTTTTCACCCATCCCTGGTCCATCCCCAGCCTCCTTCCCCACCAGAGCTGCCTCCCAACGTCACCTCATGCTCGTGGGGGTAATAAGGTCCCTTAGTGACAATTGTTCGAGTATTTGCCGTGTGCCAGGCACTTTACTCAGCGCTTCTTACACGTCGCATCAGTTGCTCTTTCTGTTGAGCGTCTGCTGTGTCCCAGGCACGGGGGATGTAGGCACAGGGAGACCCTGTGTTCCGGGAGTCCACGCGGTTTCGCATCCTTCCAGCAGTGCTCTGGCTGGGGATTATGTCTGCATCCTACGGATGCGGAAGTCTGAGGCCCCTCAACTCAGGTAGTGGAGTGGGGATCTGCTGCCCCTGCACCTGACCTGCTTCTCTGCCGCCAGACCCCCTGCAGACCCCCCCTTCCCTCTGACGTGGGGTGACGTTCAAGCAGTCAGTAACTGGTACAGTATAAGCCGTGGCAGTCGGGCCGGCCGGCTGGTGGATACCTGCTCAAGGTCAGCCACCACCCCTGCTCTGGACTTGGCCAGTGAGTGCAGGCCACATGTTTGTCTTTGTGCTCCAAGGTACACTGCCCATGGAGGGGAGACTGGTCCTCCTGATTTCGGGGTCGAGGCCTCACTCAGAGCTCTGGGTCCTGCTCCAGCCTCCCTGAGGCGGGAAGTGGAGCCCAGAGAGGGAATGCGTCTTGCCCGAGGTCCCACAGCGTGTCAAGGGCAGGACTCAGGTGGAAACCCCAAGGCCTGACAGCTGGACCTCCCGGGGCTGGGAGAGGCCAAGGCCGCTCCCATTTCCTGGTGCTGCTGGCACATTCATATAAAATAATAGAGAAAAGCCAAAGCAGGGTTAGGGAATTGCAACGTATTTTGAATTTTACATTTAAATCACAATACAGCATCATTATGCCAGTTGCAAGATAATTACAGGTTTTATAAAAAATCTTAATTCATAGGGCACTCAGGCAGTGAGGTTTGGGAACGGAGTGCCCGTTTTAGGTCGCACGAGGAGAGATTTTTCTCGGCCCTGTCGGTGGAATTCTGTGACTGTCTGTGCGGCCTCCTTTGAGGAAGCAGCACAAACCTGAGGCCTCCACAAGTGGGGCGGGGCCAGCGGTCCTGCCAGGGCCCCATCCCCACTGCCCGCCTGGTGGTGGCCTGAGGATGAGGAGGATGGCGGCCAAGCAGGAGCCAGGAGCGAGTGGGCGGACCTATCTTGGGCTGCCTGAGACGTCCTCTCAGAGCCGTGCCCCCCAGCCCCAACCAGAGGGGCCCTCCTGGGGTCCTGGGGACCCCGGCTGTCTCTGCCGGGCGGTTCCCTCTGAGCAAACTGTTGAGGAGAGGAAGCGGGAGGGGTCCCGGCTTATCCAGCCCCGAACCCCCACTTCCTTCTAGTGATAGGAGAAGAGATCCAGAGCGTGAGACCTGCACAGGGACCAGGCCCACGGTGACAGCCATCGTCCCAGCTGCCAGGCTCCCAGCTTGCTGGTGTTGTCCTCACAGCTCCCCTCAGAAGTGGCCAGGCAGCCTTCAACTTTACAGAGAAGATGATAAAGCCCAGGAGAGGGGACCACCCCAGTCACACGGCTCTTTAGAGGCCTTACCAAGACTGCACCCAGGCCTCAGAGACCCGCGGAAGATTGTTAGAGCCATGCGGAGCTAGTCCAGTGTACCGGTGGGGAGACAGAGGCCCAGAGGGGCAAAGTGACTGGCCCAAGGGCACACAGCTAGGACTGGTTGATTGAACCCCAAATCTCCCAACTCCCCAACCAGTAGGCTCCCCACGCCTCACCTTCCTGACCTGGTGAGCTCCCCCACCGCTGGCTGCACTGCCCCCCTCACTCCAGAAAGGGGAAGGACCCCTCAGAGTGTCACCCGATGGGGCAGCAGCCCCGAGTCTGCGGTCCCGGTCGCCGTCCTTCCTGTCACCTGGACTCAGAATATAAATCACCCTCGGCGGCCCTAATCATCTTTCTATAAATACCAGAGTCTCATTTCGGAGGGGCACATGAACGACGAGCTCTTTCGCCTTCCTGACTGTGTTTAAAATCTGATTTAGAATTAATTTCCTTTGGTCGTCCACCGGCGGACACCTTATTTGTCAAATCTTCAGCTCCTCGCGGGGGAGAGGCGAGAGGTGGCTGGGGCCTCCGGCAGCTGCTGGCCTGACAGGCGGCCGGCAAGGTGCCCTCTGCGGGGGGAGCCCCTCCTGGCCGGGGCTGAGGTGCCCGGGCCTCTGGAAGCGCCCCAGGGCAACGGGCAGGGCCGGGCCTAGCCCGGAGCTGCTCCATCTGTCTCGCCCGTTAATTCCCGGCTCGCCTCTAGGTCTCCAGGCTCCCCGAGGCCTGGTGATTAGTATTCTTATTAAAGATTATTTTATTTTCATTGCGAGGATTAATCTGGCCTTGACACAGTATAGCCGTGTGGGTATTAGCCAGGCGCGTGAGAAGGCCCCCTGGTGAGCCGCAGAATGGTGGGGTCTCCGAGCCCCACTGGTGTCAAGAGGCTGGGGGAGGCCCGGCTCCCTCCTGAGGCCCCTCCACCTGTGTGTGCATGGGGACCCTGGGCCGCGCGCCAGCTCCCCGGCCTGTCTCCTCTGCCGACTACAGAGAATTGTAGGAGTAGGTGCCGGGCGCTGTCCTGGCCTGACTTCACCTGTGTGCGCTCATGCCCTCCTCCCAAGGGCCCGAGGAGGTGGGTACTGTCATTATCCCCATCATGCAGACGAGGAAACTGAGGCCCAGCAGCTTGCCCAGTGTCCCTTTGGCCAGGTGCAGGGGTCAGACAGGAAAAGGCCCCCAGGCTCCTGCTCCCGAGTGTCTGCTCCTCCCCGATAGGGCTCGACGGTCTGAGCGGTCAGGGACTCATGCGGCTGCTCTGTGGTGCCTCCATCATGCCGGGGGTAACACTGAGATGTCACCATGTGTGTTCTGCCTGTCACTGCTCTGAGAGCTCCTTGAGAGCAGGACCAGCTCTTAGTTATCCTGGGTGCATAGTAGAAGCACGGGAAATTTGGGTGAAGGAATGAGTGAGAGACAGAATAAGCCAGGGTCCCCGAGATGCTCCTCAGCATGGATCCGATCACGTGAGGAGGATTGCTGTGTCTCGGGTCAACAGCAGGCTCCCCAAATATTTGCCCTCTTCCCCTGCAGCTTCCTGGGCTCTGAATGGAGCTCCTGGGCCGTGCCCCAGGCCTGGGCCTCCCGGGGGCTTCTGGGAGGAGGAGGCAAGATCCCAGTGTGTCAACTAGGAGCCCCCACCACTCCGAGCTCCCAGCCCCCGGTCAGGCCTGAGCCCTCTTGGGGTCTCCCCAGACTCCCCGACAGCTAAGCCCCTCTGCCTGCCTGGTCTCTGAGTCTGTGAAGCAGCTTCAGGGCGTTATCATCTCTCCTGATTTCAGGTTTTCTCTCAAGTTTGTAGAATTTTACAAATTAACCTAATTTTAGCTATTATAATAAAGAGATACGATCAACATCCAAGGAAGAAATGACAAGATGTCTTTTCAATGAAGCTTCTCTCAAGCGCCGAGTTCTCCAGATCTCCAGACGGGATTTGTGCAGAGAGACGCCCCGAGCTTCCTGGCCGTCCCTCTGTGATTGGATTCCGTTCCATAGGTGGAGCTGGGAGCCGCCTGGATGGGTGGCGTTGGGTCCTCCTGAACCCCCGGGGTGTCTCTCTGCCCAGAGCAGACAATGGTGGGATTAGCTCAATTTGAAAACTCCCACCAGCATTGACAACTTCTGCCCTGAGCCAGCCCTGGCCCAGAGGCCGGGAATTTTGAGAGGAATGAGGCAGCCCTGGACTTATTCTCAAGGATCTGCCCACAAGGACCTTCTGGTCTAGGAGGAAAGTCAGACACACAGATAAATAAAAGTCCAACCATAGCGTTACAGGTGGTGAGACTGAGCAGGGACTGCAGAAGCGGGGAGAGGAGTAGTGGCTTTTATGTATGTGTGTGTGTGTGCGTGCGCGTGCTCGTGTACACGTGGAGGTGTGGAGAGGTCCAGAAAGACTTCATTGAGGGTATGGTTAAATGAATCTTGAAAGAATTCAACAGGTAGACATAGGAGAAAAGGCAGCCCAGGAAGAAGGCACGGCACATGCAAAGGCCCTGAGGCAGGAAACAGCCTGCTGGATGTGGGGAAACAGGCAATCCTTTAGTTCAACCTGAGGATGGGGCGTGAGAAGTGACACTGAAGGAGGCTGCAGGTGGGTTTTGGTCTCATAGAGAGGGCTTTGAATGCCAGGCTTTATTGTTTAGGCCGTGGGGAGCCCATGAGGGGTTGCACTGTTGGTGATGGAGTCAGATGTGCATCCTGGAGAGTCCTTTAACCTGGAATGTCCCCACTCCCCGCATGGCTGACTCTTTTCCTTGAGGCCACTGCTCAGATAGCCTCTCTTTCTCTGGGAGGGCAGCTCCTCTGCCATTTCCCCTCTGCCACATCTTCTGCTTTATTTCCTTCCTGGAGGTGGGCACAGCCTTGTTCACTGTGTCCCCCTCTGAAACCCCAGATCCTTGACGGCAGAGACCGTGGGGATCTTGTTCGTGGCTGTGTCTCCATCACCCCAAGCAGCGCCTGGCACAGAGTGGGTGTGCTCAAGTCCAGGTGGAGTGACCAGTGGGTTGGGGGCAGGCTGCCGGTGGGGTTGGAGGCTGCTGCCGTCATGCAGGTGGAGGAGGAAGCAGGTGTGGCAGCGGCTGGAGAGAAGGCCAGATCTGAGACAAGCTGGTCCTAGCCACAGTGGCGGTGACGTGGGGTCCGGGGGGGATGGGAGCCTGTGATCCCTGGATGGTCGGCGTCGCACGGGGAGCTTGTAAAACACAGATTCTTGGGCCCCATCCCTAGTGGCTGCTGGGGGGCCGGGACTGTATTTGTGTAGGGGTGTTTCCATGTCCACGCTGTCTGGGAACCACGGGTCTTACCATCTGTGTCCCTTTCCAGTCACATCCCCATTCTCTGTCCGCTTTCATGTCCCACCCAAGGCGCATCCCTGGGGTTTTGGCCCTGCTTTGGTTCTGAGCCTCTTGGCCCCCACCCCCGAGGCTGGTGTCTTACTCAAGGACCAGTGTCCCGTGAAGGACAGAGTCAGGCTGGAGACGGGGCCTGGCTGGGAGGGGCTGTTGCAGGAGAGGCTCTTTCCTGCGCCGACTTTGGGGCCAGGACTCAGGTGTGAGGGTCCCGGCCTCAGCTCTGCCCCCAACTTGCTGTGCAACCAACCCTCTGTAAGTCACAGGCCCTCTCTGCGCTTCAGTCCCTCATCTGCAAATGAGGGTAGGACTGGGTGATGCTGAAGCTCTGCACCTCTGTCCTCCCGGGAGACCCCCGAGGAAGCCCTCGGTCAGAGTGAGCCCCGTCCCGGGGCCCGCCGGTGTGGCCTGGCTGGCCCCCCTCAGCTGCCTTCTCCTCCACAGCCTGTGAGCTAGGCTTCTACAAGTCGGCTCCTGGGGACCAGCTCTGCGCCCGCTGCCCTCCCCACAGCCACTCTGCGGCCCCCGCTGCCCAGGCCTGCCGCTGCGACCTCAGCTACTACCGTGCAGCCCTGGACCCACCCTCTGCAGCCTGCACCCGTGAGTACCACCCCCGGACCCCAGCATCCTCGAGGCCCGGGCTGGACCAGGACCCCATGCTTGGTCTCACAGGCCCCAGGGAGCTGGTGCTCTGTGGATGAGTAGGACAAGTGACTCTCTTGGGCCAGGGGCCAGTGTGGGGTAGGGGGTGACTCTGACCCCCCACGATGGCCTTGAGCTCTCTCGGCCCAGCCTCTTGTATGTCACCAGCCATCTTTCCAGGGAAATTCTCCCTTCCCTCCCTGGTCTCTCCTCTCTGCTCCGGGGCAGACGAGAGCCCTTCGCAGCACCAGGTGGCCTTGGCCATCTTCTCATCCAGCAGTAATGCCTGTCCTGGGGACTGGGGTGGGCATGCGGGGGGTTTCCCCGTGAGGCAAGGGGGACATCAAAGGAGCCATCACTGTCATCCTGGATGAACTGGTAGGATCTGCTGAATGCCAGGAGCTGTCTTGGTGTGTGCGAGGTGTGTGCGTGAGTGTGTACATGGAGTGTGTGTGGTTGCCTGCTTGGATGGCCGCATGCATGTGTCTGATTCTGTGTGCGCCCCAGGAGGCCTACCGCAATCGTGTGACTGTGTGTGTCTGTCTCCTACAGAAGCTGCCTGCAGAGTGTCTGTACGCCTGAGTGTGAGCGTGCGAGTGCTTGTGCCCATGTATGTAAAGGATCCTTAGGGGTGTGTGTGCACATCCGGGTACCTGTAGGGGACTCCTGAGTCCCTGCAGAGCTTGAACGAACCTGCCTGTGAGCTGAGCTTGTGCACGCCTGGCCGTGCAAGGGAGGCCTGTGCTGGAGAGGGTGTGGTGGTGTGCACGCGTGCCCCGTGTACCTGACGGGACTCCCAGGACTCTGGCGCCACGCCTGCAGGGCTGCGTGACTGTCCTGGCGTTCTGACGCGGCCCCTCTGTTGCGTCCCCTCCCCTGGCCTGAAGGGACCTCTCACATTCCCTTCCCGGCCAGGCAGGGGCTGCAGCCAGCTCAGCCTGCCCCGTTTGCCAGCCTTGGACTCTTGTGGTGGGTGGGGGGTACTTCACACGGTTCTGAATTGCCCGGAATTTGCCCCATCTCCCCCGCCCCCCACCTCCATCACCACCCAGCCCCAGGTTCCCTGCACAGAGCAGGTGAGGGCCCAGGTGTGTTCATACCACACCCATGCACGCCTGCCTTGCACGCATACACACATAGCATACATTCTCTCCATCCCTGCTCCTTCCACGGCTCTGTCCAGACCTGCGCATCCCCCATGTGGGACCGGCAAGGGCAGAGAGAATGGCTGAGTGACCTGGTGACAACCGTGGGCTCCTCAGGCCCAGGGAGCCCAGCTCTAAGCTCTAGCGGACACTTGCACTCAGCTGGCTGGACTCTGGTTTCTCTCCAAATGCACCATTCAGTGCCCTAAGCTTCTAGAAATCTGAAGACTGTAGAAGACGAGGCTTTCAGTATTCCATACCCTTCAGATTCTAAGATTCTCTGTGGTGCTGAGATCCTACAATTCTGTTGTCTTAAGATCTAAGACTCCTTCCCTGGGATTCTGAGAGTTGGCGTTCTGAGCCCAGGGGTCCCCCAGCCCCCAACCCCACCCCTCTCTCCAAAGTCCTCTTGCTGCCGGGACTGGGGCTCCCGTCGGTGGGGGAGGGCGCTCAGGGCCACGGAGACGCCCCTGGGCTGCCTGGCGCCTCCACTTCACTCTAGCAAAGTGCTCAGTGGCATTTACAGTGAATCCAGCACAGAGGGTCAAGGTGAAGTGTGGGACACAAACAACTGGGGCATTTCACACCCAGCCTGGCTACCCAGGGCTGTGCAGTCTCTGCCCCCAGCTCTGGATGAAAACTCTGGGGAGCACAAACCCCGAGCCCCCTGTGGTCCTGCGGGGGGGGGGGGGGGGGGGGGTTAGGTAACGGTGCCCAGACTCTGACACTGTGGTCCCAGTCTGATGGCGGAGACGCTGCCTCTGCCCTCAGGGAGCTTCCAGAGGATGGAGTAGGCGTGACCTCATTCTTAGGGAGCCCCACATATGGTAGGGGAGCCACAGCCCTTCTCTGGTCTCATGGGAGGAGACTGGACCCACTCGCATAAATGCCCTCCACCCCTCCCATCATTCTCTGCTCCAGGGCCACCCTCGGCACCCGTGAATCTGATCTCCAGTGTGAATGGGACGTCCGTGACACTGGAGTGGGCCCCTCCCCTGGACCCGGGTGGCCGCAGTGACATCACCTACAACGCCGTGTGCCGCCGCTGCCCCTGGACACTGGACCACTGCGAGACGTGCGGGAGTGGCACCCGCTTCGTGCCGCAGCAGACGAGCCTGGTGCAGGCCAGCCTGCTGGTGGCCAACCTTTTGGCCCACATGAACTACTCCTTCTGGATCGAGGCCGTCAACGGCGTGTCCGACCTGAGCCCCGAGCCCCGCCGGGCCGCCGTCGTCAACATCACCACGAACCAGGCAGGTAGGCGGAGACCCCTGTCCCAGCTTCCCCAGGGAGGGCCCCTGCCCTCCCGGGCATCAGAGCTTGGCCACGGGCTGGCTGAGGCCCTCAGGCAGTTCCCGCCTCTCCTGGCCGTGTCCTGCTCACCAGGACTCAGAGCTGCAGGCCTCAGGAGAGTAGACCACATCCTGGAAGTGGGAGGAATCCAGAAGCACAGAGGCAGGCTAGCGTGGCCATCGCAGGCCTGGGTTCCAGAACTTTCTCTGCCTGTTTCCTTCCTGGTGCAATGGGAGTAATAGTACCTACCTCAGGTACTGTTGTGAGGCTGAAATGATGGAAATGAAAATGCTTAGCCCAGCACCTGGCCCGTGCTGCAGGCTCGATAAACGTCATTAGAAAAAGAAAATCATTCTGATTATCGTTTTCCAGAACAGCTGCCACTGCTGCCCCTGGGATGGCTTTGGTTGCACTGGTTTGGACAACAGCCATTTCTCTCTCTGTTTCTAGCCAGTCGTTGGCCTGAATTGAGTCCCTGGAACCTCTTGTTTCCAAATTCTGGTGGGTCTTGCCCGTCAAGGGACAGCCTGTCCCCAGAGCCCATCGCGGGCAGCTTCCCCATTAACAGCCACCCTGGCACATGCCCTGGACCCCTCCAGCTCCTCACCTCCGTCTCCTCCCCACACCACGCAGGCCTGGCCCAGCAGACACTATTCCCACCATGTCACAGAGGAGGAAACTGAGGCGCAGAGAGCCACCCAGTGTCACCGCATAGGAAGTGGCAGAGCCAGGATTCGAACCCAGGTCTGTCTCACTCCCAAGTGACGCAGGCCTCCCACCTCTGAGCCCAGGGCTCTCCCGCCCCGATGCCAGGGCTCCATCCACTCAGGAGATTCATCCGGCCAGCAGGCGTGGGGCACCCGCTGAGTCCCATCTCTGTCCTCGTTGATGGGGATACCGTGAGGAGTGGACCTGTGTGCCCGGTGTTCAGGGCACTGCCTCACCTACTTCCTAGGGTGACTGAGGCAGGTGGCTGGCTGGCCAGGGGGAGGGTGGAGCAGAGAACCCAGCAGCATTCAGACACCAGTCGCTGTGCTCCGTCATTATAAAGAGACCCTCCCTGAACCCACTCTCCCTTCCAGCCCCCCGCCCATTTCTCTTCACATGAACACGCCCCAAAGAGCTGTCTGTGCTCACCACGTCTGCATCCTCTCCTCTGTGGGCCTCTCCATGCAGCTCCAGTCTGGCATCTTCCCCCGCTGCCTGTCCACAGAACGTCAACATGCCCACGTGGCCACGTCCAGTGGGCACTTCTCCCTGCTCTTCCTCCTCCTCCTTGGACGCTTTTCTCTTGCCTTCCATGCCCCGCCTGCCCGCGCTTCCCGTCTGCCGGTCTGGCCTGTCCTTCTCCATGTCTGTCAGCCCCTGCTCTCTAGGCAACCTCAAGATGCTGGAGGACCCGCCTCTCTTCCCTGTGTACTCGGGTCCACCTTTCCTGAGTGGCCTCATCAGGGTCCGGGACTTTGAATCCCACCTTCGTGCTGACATCCCCAAATGAACGGCACCACCACAGACCTCTCCCCGAGATGCAGCCACCTGCTCCTCTGTCCACTCGGATGTCTTTTAGATGAACAGCCCCCCAAACCTGCACCTCCCACAGGCCCCCCATATCAGGACACGACCCCACCATTCCTGGGGTTACTCAAGCCTCAAACCCAGTTGTCCTCCTTGACTCTCTCAGCCACATCCATCCACCAGCCAGCCCTGCTCGGTCTGCCTCAAGCATCACCACCTCCACACTCGGTACCCACCCCGCGTCTGTCTTAGCTTGGGTTGCTGTAACAAAGTACCGCAGACGGGGGCTTAAACCACAGAGGTTTTCTGCTCACAGTTCTAGCGGCTGGCTGGCCAAGACCAAGGTACTGGCCGCTGTGGTTCCTGGTGAGAACTCTCCTCCTGGCATGTGGTCAGCTGCTTTCTCCCCGGGTCCTCACATGGCAGAGAGAGAGAGAGAACTCTCTGGCTTCTCTTCTTTGAAACGCACTCATCCCACCGGGAGAACCCCACCCTCACGACCTCATCTGAACCTGATCACCTCTCTAGGGCTCCAGCTCCAAACACTGTCACATTGGGGGATAGGGCTTCAGTATATGGATTTGCAGGGGGACACAGTTCAGTCCATCGCACCATTCACGTCCCCATCACGTATTGCCTGGACAACCACAGGCGCCCCTCCCACTTTGCCCCCTGACTCCTTCTCACACCACATCCGGAATGAGCTTTAAAAATGTAAGTGAGATCAGGTCCTCCGTGAGTCGTTTAAAGCTCCATCCTCAGCTGACACAGTTCAGACCCTCCCGGGGCTGGGGGGACCCACGGGACCCACCCTGCCCGCCTCTGCAGCCTCACCCCATCCACTCTCGCCTGGCTCCCTCCCTTCCAGCCACACTGGCCACCGGTCCCCATCCTTGAACGCACCAAGCCCTTCCCCACCCCGGGCCTTGGCCTTGCTTCTCCATTGGAGGGACCCGCTCCTCCCTGGGACGTTCCCGTGAGTGGCTCCTTCAGTCCTCAGTTCAGCTGTCACCCCGCCTCAGGGAGGCCCACCCTGACCACCCCAGCTGAAATGGCCCATTTCCCTCCCGGCCCCCTGTGTCTGTATGGTCCTCTCCATCGCAGCACCCTCGTCATTCTTCAGGGCTCTTAACCAACCTGTATTTACGTGTTGACTTGTTTTCTTATTTACTTTCCGTCTCTCTTACTAGACCATAAGCTCCTTGAGGGCTGTCCTGGTCACTGCAGTGTCCCCGGGTCCCAGCCCAGTGCCCGGCATGTGGCATTCAGGATACACTAGGGGGAGCTGGGTGCCTGGGGCAGACAGCAGCCCTGAGCAAAACCGGTGCCTCCGCCCTCAGAGACCACTTGCCCCCCCCCCCCCACCACCGCTTCCCCCCAACCACCTGCTCCTTGGAGCCCTCTCAGGTGCCCTGTTTCCCTCCTGCCTCTGAGCCCGGTCTCCCTCTGTCTGCCCCTGTGTCACAGCACCTCTTGCCTTGGAAATTTTGGGGTTTTTAAGAGGCGCCCACATATCCCTGGCCCTGGTGTGTGCTGCTCACATAGATGGTTGTATCTGATCCTCACCTCCTCCTGGCACGTGGTGCCTGCTACCTTCACCTTCTGGATGGGAAACTGCCACCCAGGGACAGTCATGGTCCCAGGCATGAAGGGAAGGGCCTGTTGTGAACCCAGACCTGATTCCCAGGCTGTGGGATCTCCCCTGCGCCACCCCCTCCAGCTTAACTGTGGAATTACTTGTTAATTTTTCATGTCGAAGTCATCCAGCAACACTTATTGGGGCACCTACTGTGTGCAGTCCCTGCCTGCAGGGACACGGGAGGTGTGGGGCAGAGAGTAGAACTCGGGTTGGGCAGGGGAAAGAGGAGGGCTGCGGGCTGGAGGGGGCCAGGAGGAGGGCGTCCTGCGGGCGGTTCCTCAGTTTGCCTTTGCCTGGGTCTCTCTCTGGGGGGTGGGGGGGGTGGTGGATCATTGCACTGAACGCAGGAGGGAGGGAGGGAATGGATGCATCAGTGAGTGAGTGAGGGGGCGAATGGGTGGCCTAGTGTGACACGAGAATACATGAGCTCAGATGGGCCCCCGGCTCAGCTCAGTCCCTTCCCTAAATGTCCAGAGTCCTACCCCCAAAACCCAGGCAGTGAGAGTGTAGTTCTTTCCATCCTCCCTGTCCCGTCTCCTCTGCTTCCTCCTTCCTCAGCCTCTCCTGACAGCCTGCCCCACACGGGGCCCTGGGCTGGGGGTGGGAGACGTGGAGCTAGAGACCTCAGGTGATGGGGCCCAGGGTGGACAAGAGCAGCTGCTTAATGGGGCGGGTGTGGTCCAGCATGCTTCCCGTGGATGGGCCTGGCCAGAGAGGAGGAGGAGGCAGTGAAGCTGGGGCTGCCAGGCCTCATCTGGGTCAAGCCAACCCCAGCATCTCAGACCAGAGCCAGGCTGTGCCGACCCCCGGTGACTGACCAAGGCAGTGGCCAGTGATTTTGCAGGAGGAGTGGAGGGTGCTGGCTCTCCTGGGCGGGGGCAGGACAGTCGGCAAGACGGAGCATGGCCCGAGCTGGGATCCCTGTTCAGGGCCCTGGGAAGGGGGACAGAGGCCAGTCCCCATGGTTGCCTGTCTGACTGCGTGGCCTCCTTCCCTAGCCCCGTCCCAGGTGGTGGTGATCCGCCAGGAGCGGGCGGGGCAGACCAGTGTCTCGCTGCTGTGGCAGGAGCCCGAGCAGCCCAATGGCATCATCCTGGAATACGAGATCAAGTACTATGAGAAGGTACTGCGGGGCGGGAGCGAGGTGGGGGCCAGGTGGGCAGGCCTTGGCTGACCGCCCTCCCATGGCAGGACAAGGAGATGCAAAGCTACTCCACCCTCAAGGCTGTCACCACCAGGGCCACCGTCTCGGGCCTCAAGCCGGGCACCCGCTACGTGTTCCAGGTCCGAGCCCGCACCTCTGCAGGCTGCGGCCGCTTCAGCCAGGCCATGGAGGTGGAGACCGGGAAACCCCGTGAGTGCCAGGAGCGGGGAGGCCGCGGGAGCTGGGCAGGGCCGGGTGCCAGGGCCCTGGTGGTCAGAGGAGGGGAACTGTGCTATCTGAGCTGGCGGCTGTGGTGGATCAGCATATTTACAGGAGAAAAACCAAGGCTCAGAGAAGGAAAGGTACTTGCCTGATGTGGCAGAGCTGGGAACAGCGTGTCAGCCGCTGGCTTTTGCTGAGTGTCAGTGTGACTTGCAGGTATCATGAGGACAACCTCATAACCGTCCCAGAGACCCTCTATCGAGTTGGCATTACCCACAGCCCCATTTTGCAGACAAGGAAAATGAGGGTCAGAGCAGTAAAGTGAATTGCCCGAGGTTACCCAGCAAAGCAGGATTTGAACGCGGACATTCTAGGGACAAATTCCGTGCCCCTTCCCCAGGATCATCCCGCCCCCGGCCTCCAAACAGAGGTTCTCAGTGTGTTCCAGGACCAGCAGCCTCGGCCTCACCCGGGAGCTCCCAGAAATGCTGATTCTCAGGCCCACCCCAGACCTTCTGAATCAGAGGCCCTGGGGGGGGGGGGCAGCAGTTTAGGTTTATCAAGCCTGCAGCGGGATTCTGAGGTGCGTTCCAGCTTGAGAACCCCGGCCCCATCTCCAGCCAATGAGGTCTTCTATCCTTGGGCACCCTCTGATAGAGGGTTCCAGGCTGTGTTCTCGACCCTGCTCCCCTGGCACCCGTGGCTTGTGGGTCTCAGGTGCTCCTCGGTCTGACACCATGTGGAGACTGCCCAGGTGGGAATCCTGCCCCACTCCATCCCATGTCCTGTGTGACCTTGAGCAAATTCCTTGAGTTCTCTGAGCCTCCGTTTTCTCATCTGAAAACTGAGCTAATACTGGGACCTCCCTGGATGGGTGTGGGGAGCGGCCACGGAGACTGAACTGAGCTCTCGGCACACTCAGCTTTGTTACTGTTGGGATAACAGGCAGGCCAGGCGTTTTCTGATTCACATTACAGATGAGAAAACTGAGGCTCAGAGAAGTCCAGTGACTCTCCCCAGGTCACACAGTCTCAGGAAGTGATGACACCGGGTTGGGAAGCCAGGAAGCCTGGGGCAGCAGGGGCTTGAAGGACAGGCTCAGTAGAGAGGGGGCTGGGGGCAGAGGAGGGGGTGCCTGTGTGCTGGCCCTGGGCTGGCTCACAGCTGAGCGGCTGCCCTTGATCTGGTGTCCCCCGCAGGACCCCGCTACGACACGCGGACCATTGTCTGGATCTGCCTGACGCTCATCACAGGCCTGGTGGTGCTTCTGCTCCTGCTCATCTGCAAGAAGAGGTGGGTGGTCCGGCCCCAGCCCCCGGGCTCTCCTCTGGAGCGCTGTGTCACCCGCCTGCCCCCGCCCTGTGCCTGGGGCAGGGCTCACTCACACATCCACCTGCTCTTCCTTCCTCCTCCTCGGACACTTTTCTCTTGCCTTCCATGCCCCGCCTGGCCCCACTTCCCGTCCGCCTGTCTGGCCTGTCCTTCTCCGTCTCTGTCAGCCCCTGCTCTCTAGACAACCCAGGGAGGCTCGGGGACCCGCCTCTCTTCCCTGTGTACTCAGGTCCACCTTTCCTGAGCGGCCTCATCAGGGTCCAGGGCTTTGAATCCCACCTTCATGCTGACATCCCCAAATGTATGGCACCACCACACACCTCTCCCTGAGATGCAGCCACCCACTCCTGTGTCCACTCGGATGTGTTTTAGTAAACAGCCCCCCAAAGCCACACACCCCACAGGCCCCTCATCTTAGGACACAGCCCCACCATTCCTGGGGTTACTCAAGCCCCAAACCCAGTTGTCCTCCTTGACTCTCTCAGCCACATCCATCCACCAGCCAGCCCTGCTCGGTCTCCTTCGAGCATCACCACCTCCATCTCATTTAATCCTAATGACACTCCAGGGATGCAGAGATTCTGACCTCTTTTTGCAGGTGAGCATATTGGGGATCAGAGAGGTTAGGCTGCTTCAGCCAGATAGAAGCCAGAACTGGGACAGGAGCCCAGGTCTGTCACAGCCAAAGACCATGCTCTGGGTCACTCTCCCCTCCCCTGCTCCGTTCCAGAGGGAGGAGGGCCTGGGATACTGGCTCAGTGCAGGCTTAGGATCCCAGATGGCGAGAATGAAGGATCATCCAATAGATGGAGAAACTAAGGCCCAGGGAAGGGAAGGGGTTTGTCAATGTCACACAGCAGGCTTGGCATCAGAAGCCTCATCTCCTAACCCCTCCACCAGGGATGGTCTCCTGTAAAACAGGGCTAATGATGCCACAGACTTTGTAAATTGTAAGTGTCTGTAAATGTCAAGGATGTCGCAGCTCAGCTGGGTTGAGAGCCTGAGAGCGAGGACTCCCCCTGCAGGGGCAGGTGCTGGGGTGGCAGGCGCTGACCTGAAGGGGGAGAGGAGTAGAAGGGAGGGGTGCTGACTTGTCCCTGCGTGGGGTCAGGGCTGGGGCGAGGGGCGGTCTGGCCTCGGGGAGAACCGTGCCCCTCCTCCTCAGGCACTGCGGCTACAGCAAGGCCTTCCAGGACTCAGACGAGGAGAAGATGCGCTATCAGAACGGGCAGGGTGAGTGCGGGGCCCCGGCATCTGGGGGCAAAGAGGAGGTCACGGTGGGGCCACTGCTGGTCTGGGGATGGCAGAGGTAGGAAGGAGCAAGGTGCCCACAGAAAAGACCAGAGCCCGAGAGATGGACCCCAGGATGTCACAAGACTGGAGACCCCAGAGCTGTTCACCTTTCCTGGGTTCACAGACCCCACTGAGGATGCTGGAGACCTTCTCCCGGGGAATGCCCTGATGTGTGCACTCACACACAATTTTGCAGACAGTCTTCTCGGGGGGAGTCATACAATCTTGGACAAGAACCCCTGCTACAGAGAGCTTTTTAAGGACCCGGCAAAGCTCTGAAAATGAGGCAAATATGGGGATGTCTGCCTCCACACCCACTTTGCCCGTGGAGACAGTAGTATCGGTCGTGGTACTGATGCCCGCTGAGCCTGAATGCAGCCCGAGGATCCAGCGTCACACGGTCTTCTAGAGAGCCACTCCCAGTCCATCTACCTTGGCACTTGTGATGAAACCTTTTTTGCCACATTCCTACCTCAAAACAATTTGGAACGATCTTAAGGACTCTAGAAGTGACCCTAGAAAATGACAGACACGCTCAGAACTCACTGGAGACCCCAAAGTCCCCTAGAGACCCCACGGCTACTTCATAGAGACCCTACTTTCATTTGGCGAACTCTTATTGGGCGCCTACTGTTTGCCACCATATCCTGAGATTCCCAGAGACACGCCTCACCCCACCCCAGACCCTTCCCAGGCCCGGGAACCCAGCTGACAGCCCTTCTCTCCTGGCCCCTCAGCACCCCCACCCGTCTTCCTGCCCCTGCACCACCCCCCGGGGAAGATCCCGGAGCCCCAGCTCTGTGCGGAACCCCACACCTATGAGGAGCCGGGCCGGGCGGGCCGCAGTTTCACCCGAGAGATCGAGGCCTCCAGGATCCACATTGAGAAGATCATCGGCTCTGGTGAGCTTCCCGGGCGGTGGGGCTGGGGCCATCACAGAGGGGCTTCCCAGGCAGCGGGAGAGGGGAGCGGAGGAGCCTGGCATGGGTGTGTGAGGCTGGGGGGGTTCAGGGCAAGGGGAGGAGGGACCCACCACCCTCCCCGGCCTGCCCCACTCGGGGTCCACAGGAGAATCCGGGGAAGTCTGCTACGGATGGCTGCGGGTGCCGGGGCAGCAGGACGTGCCCGTGGCCATCAAGGCCCTCAAAGCCGGCTACACAGAGAGACAGCGGCGGGACTTTCTGAGTGAGGCATCCATCATGGGGCAGTTTGACCACCCCAATATCATCCGCCTTGAAGGCGTCGTCACCCGTGGTAGGTGCCAGGCGAGGGCAGCCTCACCTGAGGGCCCCTCCTGTCCAGCATGGGCCTCTGGGGCCCTCCCTAGACCACCCTGCTCTGCCCGTACCCCCGGCTCAGGTCCCTGGGTGATTCAGGTGGGGGGAGAAACCCAGGCTCCCTGGGGCCCTCAGTACTCGCCCAGCTCCTGGCAGCTCATCAGGGGGCGTGTTCCTGGGGTCTCTGATATAGCAGGCCTGATCCCCCAAGAGCCACCCACGCCCCATCCCCTCCCCAGGCCGCCTGGCAATGATCGTGACGGAGTACATGGAGAATGGTTCCCTGGACGCCTTCCTGAGGGTGCGTGCCCCGCCCCCTTTCACGTGGGCTCGGGGAGGGCCATTCAGTCCGGGCGCTGGGAGACAGTGGCAGGCCTCCAACACCCCCAGAGCTTGGACCCGACAGCCCTGGGGAGGGGGATCAGGTGTAGGGGGTCCTAAGGATCAGCCAATCAGACTGCCTCTCAGCCCCCATCCCGTTAGAGTTGCCCTGCTGCACGGGTCCCGCTGCCCTGCACACAGGCTAAGGGGGTGCTCTGTGGGGACCCAGGGCCTCCGCAGCTGGGAGGCATGGTGGGTGTGGCAGAAATCACTGGATTCCCAGCCCCCGCCCTGCCTTTTATTCGCTGGGTGCTCTTAGGCACAGGGCTTAACCTCTCTGAGCCCCCATTTGTCCTTCTGCAAAATGGATGAGCAGCCATCGCTGCCCCACCTGCCTCTCAGGGTTGCTCCGAGTGTAAACGAGGCCGTGAGCCCGACCGTGAGCAGAACCCTGCTTCCTACGAGTGAGACACTTTGCGGGCTGCTCGGAGCCTTGCTGAAGCCGAGCCGTGTCCCCCGCAGACCCACGATGGGCAGTTCACCGTCATGCAGCTGGTGGGCATGCTCAGAGGCGTGGCCGCCGGCATGCGCTATCTCTCCGACCTGGGCTACGTGCACCGCGACCTGGCCGCCCGCAACGTCCTGGTGGACGGCAACCTGGTCTGCAAGGTGTCCGACTTCGGGCTCTCGCGGGTGCTGGAGGACGATCCCGACGCCGCCTACACCACCACGGTGCGCAGCCCGCTCCACCTTCCGATGGGCCCAGGGAGGGCGCGGGAGGGCTCCCCCAGGTCGTCGAGTGAAGCTGGCCGTTTCTAGGCTGCCTTCCACCTGGGGCGAGCCCTCCCTCTGCTCTACACCTCAATGTCCCCTCTGGGGACTGGGAGCCACCTTTCCTGCCTTCCCTCCGTCACCTGGGGAGACACCAGGGCTGGTCCCCACCGTCACTCACTCGCGGGAGATTTGGGGAGAATTGGCATCTCTCTGAATCAGGTCGATTCCACATCTGTCTCTAAGGTCGGGTAAAAACCAGTGTTTTCAACACGTGTTCCGTGGAGACTTGGGCTTCTCTGGAGGTGCCTGGGAGCTGCCTTACAGGGGGCGGCCGAGTGGACGGGGCTCTGGCTTCACCGCCTGCCTCAATCGGAACCTTCCCTGTGGAGCTCACCCACTGACCCTCTGAATAAGGTTTCACTTAGAGAAAGGATTTTGTGACCAAAACAAAAGGAAGAAGAAGAGGAAGGGGGCCAGCCGGGTGGCGCAGGGGTTAAGTGCGCATGTTCCGCTTCTCGGCGGCCCGGGGTTCACCGGTTCGGATCCCGGTTGCAGACATGGCACCACTTGGCAAGCCATGCAGTGGCAGGCATCCTACATAGAAAGTAGAGGAAGATGGGCATGGATGTTAGCTCAGGGCCAGTCTTCCTCAGCAAAAAGAGGAGGATTGGCAGCAGATGTTAGCTCAGGGCTAATCTTCCTCAAAAAAAAAAAAAAAAAGAAGAAGAAGAAGGAAAAGGAGGAGGAGTCAGGAGCCATTGGCCCATTCCCGCACTCTGTGCTGGCTGGCGCATCGGCTGCTGGCCCTTTCCTGAGCGTCCGCTGTGCCGGGCTTCACAAGCGTCCTCCCGTTTGTGCTCACGGCAGCTCGTGAGCCGCTCTCCCCATCAGAACAGGCCCTGGAGGGTGGGAGCAGGACCCTGGTGCTCCGCTCCCTGGCTCGGGCTGCGGAGGAGCCCTCACAGACCCACGTCCATCGCAGGGCGGGAAGATCCCCATCCGCTGGACGGCCCCTGAGGCCATCGCCTTCCGGACCTTCTCCTCGGCCAGCGACGTGTGGAGTTTTGGTGTGGTCATGTGGGAGGTGCTGGCCTACGGGGAGAGGCCCTACTGGAACATGACCAACCGTGACGTGAGCTCGGGGCCCTGGCTGGGCAGAGACGGGGGTTGGGGGGGGCCTTGGAGGGGCGACAGCCTCCAGCCCAGCGCCATGCCCCGCTCCCCAGGTCATCAGCTCTGTGGAGGAGGGGTACCGCCTGCCTGCACCCATGGGCTGCCCCCGCGCCCTGCACCAGCTCATGCTCGACTGTTGGCACAAGGACCGGGCCCAGCGGCCTCGCTTTTCCCAGATCCTCAGTGTCCTCGATGCCCTCATCCGGAGCCCTGAGACTCTCAGGGCCACGGCCACTGTCAGCAGGTGCCTGGCGCCCACCCCAGCTCTGCCCAAGCCCGGCTGCCTTCCCAGCATTGCCCCAGATAAGGCCCGGGCTTAGTCCAGACCCTGACCCCTGGACCAGACCCAGCCTGGGCCCTGGACCCCTGTCCATCCTAGACCCCTGACCCCTGCCTGGGCCCCTGATCCCTGCCTGGGCGCCTGACTCCTGCCTGCCTGGGCCTTCCTTGGCCCTCTCCTTCCAGGCCTGGGATCCCGGCCCTCATACCCCTTGCCCACTGCTGAGCCCGGATGGAGGCTGAGGGTGGCTATGCCCAGTGTCCCCAAGGAAGGCAAAGGCCTGGCAGGCCACTCACCAAGGGCCCCTGTGCCTCAGGTGCCCGCCCCCCGCCTTTGCCCGGAGCTGCTTTGACCTCCGAGGGGGCAGCGGGGGCCTCACCGTGGGGGACTGGCTGGACTCCATCCGCATGGGCCGCTACCGGGACCACTTCGCTGCTGGTGGCTACTCCTCTCTGGGCATGGTGCTGCGTATGAACGCTCAGTGAGTGGGAGGGTGGAGGTGGTCCCCAGGGGGTGGGGCTGGGGGAGAGGGCAGAGGGCCAGAGGCAGAGCCGCTGAGGATTTGGCAGCTTCGGGGGATGGGTATGCCCCCCAGGCCAACCTGGTCAGCACCCTGCTTCCCCCACAGGGACGTGCGTGCCCTGGGCATCACCCTCATGGGCCACCAGAAGAAGATCCTGGGCAGCATCCAGACCATGAGGGCCCAGCTGACCAGCACCCAGGGGCCCCGCCGGCACCTCTAACCCAAGGCCAGTGGGGCCTGGGCAGCACCCAGGCCAGCTCCAGGTCCAGGAGGACTTGCACGGCTGACCAGTGGTCGAGACAGCCCCAGGCCTCTGTCCCTCCTCTCAGGTGCCAGGAGGCCAAGGGCTTCATGGCAGGATGTGGAGTGATCAGGGGTCAGGCTGCCTGCAAAGGGGCCTTGGGTGCCCAGTGTGGCCGGGACACCCGCCCCAGGGCAGAGGGCCCTCGCCTTCCCAGACGCTGGGACCTCAGCACCACCGAGCCCACACCCTGCCTCTGTGTGCGTGTGTGCGTGCCTGTGTGTTTGTGTGCTCTTGTGCTGTAGGGGTGTGTTCTCACGAGGTCGTGGTGACCTGTGTGAACATGTGTGTGTGTGCGTGTGCATGTCCATCGGTCAGGTCCCAGCATGGATGTGTGCCAGTTATGCTGCGCATGCTTATCCATGTAGACTGGGGGCACATGTGCCTGACCGTGAGTGGCATGTCGTGAAGGAGGATGCGTGTTATAAGCCTGTGGGCAGAGAACTCCCTGTGGCGCTGCCCATGGAATGCAGGCCCGGGTCCCAGCACCTGCAGGGCCTGGGAGAGGCTCACGCCCCCTCCCCCCATGCGTGGAGGCCGAGCCAGGGGCCACTTCTGAACCAAACCAGCACCAGGCCCACCTTTGTCTCTGCCCGGGTGAGCCCACCCCCGGCTCTATCTCAGGTCCGAGCCCTCCTTCTAGCTGGCAGGGGGGCCACCTGCAGCCTCCACCTGCCTCCCACCGCTGCTTCAACAGGAAAACAGGGTTCCCGGCCAGCCCTCTGGCCGCCTTCTGAGGAGGCATCGCCAAGGTCATAAGATGCCCTCAGCTGCACCAGGCTGCCGGGCCAGGGGCCAGGGGCCACCACCTTCCCCCTAGTCTCTGATGCCCTTCCATGGCCCAGGGCTCCTCACTTGGACGTCCCTCTGCCAGCCTCATTGCCCAGCCCTAACCTCCCCCACAGCCCCACTCCTGGGGTCAGGGACATGACATCACATCCTAGCTTTTCAGCCCCAAATCCACCTCTGCTGTGCCATCTGGGGAGATGGAGGCTGAGAGAGCAGTGTGCCTTGTCCAAGGTCACATGGCGGCCAAGTTTCCGAGCTGAGGCCTCTGCCTCCCAGCCCAGGGTTCTTTCCCCGGCAACATCCCACATGGACAGCTATGGGTGCAAAGGGGCTTGGGAAGCCCCCCAGTCAGAGACTGACCCTCCCCCTTACGGCCCACCAGGGTATGTAAATATCTTTTTTGTACCATGTCAGAGTATTTTTTCCTCACTCTTGACAATGCAAAAATGGTCGTCAAAGCACATAAAAGTCACCAGGGTGAGAAAGCCCCATCCCAGGGGAGGCTTGGCAGGCAGGGTCCAAGGAACCCCACCGGGCAGGATGCCGGGTGCCCCCTGCCGCCCCGAGGGAGGGCCAGCCCAGCCCCCACCCCTTGCCCCACCCTCCCCGTAGCCAGCACAGCTGTTCCGCGGAGACACCAGCACTGAGACCCCCCTCTCCTTCCTGCAATAATTTGGGGGGATCTCAGCCCCGCCCAGGGGCCGCGGCCAGCTCTCTGCACCTCTATATATTATATTACTATATAGCCAAGCTGCTCTTCCTTCCTATGGAAGTCGGAAACATGGTCAGGACACGATCCGGGGAGGACCCTGTTTTCCTCCCACCCCCACCCCACTCTCACCCAGTTCCTGGGCTCTGGATCCTCACGGTCGGGGGGACACAGTGGGCCTGGCACTTGCCAAAGTGTAGCCCCTGCCCCTGGCATGAGTTGCCCCTCAGGATCCCAGAGATCTGTCTCTCTGTGATCTCCATCCTGAGTCTTGAACTTGCCCACAATGAGAATAAATTCTGCCTCATCTTTGCCTTTGTCTCTTGTTTTTTCCATCCCTACAACCTTGGCATCTCCTGGTGAGGAAGGAGCAGCCTTATGCTGTGTGCCTCCTGTATGCATCCCATACATCTCTTCCTCTCTGGTCTTCTCACCTGTCCCAGGAGGTGGGTTCAAGCCCTCATTTTATACAGGGGGAGGCTGAGTCTTAGAGAGCTCAACTTGCCCATAGTCAACTTTGTGGGCGGCTGAATCAGAACCCAGGCTTGTCCAACTCCTGCGCCCATGCTCCGCTAGGAAGCACCCCCTCAAGCCCCAAATTTTCTCTTCCAGATGTCCCAATTGCCCTTGCCTCATGTTCTCTTGTGGAAGAAAGTCACCTCCTGGAGGAGGAAAATATGAGGAAGGAGCATTTCATGGGAACAACTTCCTTGGGACCCAGGGCTCCATTGAGAGACCTGGATGCTGTGGGCTGGGGAAGGGAAGATGGTGCGAGCATCTTCCATAGTTACATTAGGGTGCTGAGGACCCACCTCTGCTCCAGGAGGAAGGGGACAGCAGCGGGAGCCGGGGTGATGGCATCAGAGGCAGAGCAGAGCCCAACTGTGTCCACTGGCATCAATAACTCAGACATTTGGGGAAGGCGCCCGTGCGGCCTTATCGATGAGCAGGAAGTGATCTCCAGCAGCCTCTGTAGCTGAGGGTCTTCATTCCTGCACCTCCCTCAAATTGGAAAAGTGGGACCAGGGAGAAAACACCTTTAGTGTGCCTCCTACAATCTCCCTCATAGGCACAGCAGCCCTGTGAGATTGGTACTATTGTCTCCATCTTACAGATGGGCACACGCGTGCTCAGAGAGGCCAGTGTCCCACGTGGCAGGACCAACTGTAGAGATAGATCTGATTTCAAGCCAGGTGTGTTTCCTCCTGAAATACCAAACTCCACCCCAGGATCTGTCCTCACAAGACCAGCTGTTTCCTGTGAGGAAGAACCTCTTCCTACACACTTCTCTTCCCTAAGGGCAGTCATCAGAGCTTACTGAGCACCTGCTGTATGCTGGGTGCCGCTGGGGACGCAAAGATGAAGGGGATGCAGCGCCTCCTCTTCAGAAGCCGAGACTAGGTGAAGGTACAGAGTGCACACAAGTGGCTCCCCAGTCGGATCCGGCGTGTGAAGTGCCCAGGGAATGGGGCATACGGGAATGCTAGAGGAGGTCAGAGGAGGGGGAGCCTGGGGGGCCAGGGCTGTCATCAAGGCCTTCCTGAAGGAGGAGGCTAGGCATTGAAGGATGGGAAGCGTGTGGAGTTTCATTTCCTAGGCAGCCCCCTGTTTGAGGATGGAACGCAGAGGACGGGGAGAATAATGGCCAGAGAAGAACCAGATCGTGTGACAACGAGGGAAGCCTTGTTGTCATGAAGTCGGCTAGTCCCCTCCAGTTGAATCTATACTCTTTATTTCTGATAAAATTTGCAACAGTTTTCTCTGCAACTTGACAAGCTCATCTGAAAACAGATATGGAATAATAAAGAACTCAGAATAGCCAAGACAACTGTGAAGAAGAAAGAGAAAGGGAAGCTTTACCCTGCCAGATATTAATAATTACTATAAAGCTCTAATAATTAAAATAGTTTTATTTGGCCCCAGGAATAGAGAAACAGATAAAAAGAACAGAGAATAATGCCTAGGAACAGATCCAAATATATATATATGAGAGTTTGAAACATGACAAGGAGTAAAGAATGGTCTAGTTAATGGGTGATATTAGGACAATTAGGTACCTTCACAGAAAAAGGTACAATCAGATCTCTGCTCACACTGCTCCAAAATGAGCGCCAGCCTGATCAAAGTCCCAAATGTAAAAAACAGACTATAAACAAGAAAGTAACTTTACAACACTAGAGTAGAAAATAAACAAGAGCAAGAAGTACAAATGATAAAGGAAAACGATGATAAATCCTATTTCATTAAAATCAAAAACTTGCACACGACAAAAAATAAATTTGTTAAATCCACAGCTGGGAGAAGATATTTGCAACCTGTACAACCAACCAGTAGAGTTAGTTTCTGAAATAAAATTTCTTTAAAACTTTAAAAGAATCAATTTCTCAAAACATTCCAAAACAATAGGAAAATGAGCAAAAGCTATGAACAAATAACAGAGGAAGAAATTTGAATGGCCAATAAAGATTTTAAAAAGATTCTCAACATCACTAGTAAACATGGAAATGCAAATTAAAACAATAATGCGATAGCACATTACACTAGTCTGATCAGCAAAATGAGCCTATAACACCAGTATTGATGAAAGTGGAGGGGGGGTGCGGAATAGCAGTGTTTAGAAACTTCTGGTGGGAATGTAAATTGGTTCAACTACTTTGGAGAGCAATTTGGAAACACTTAGTAAATTTTAAGATGAGAAGATCTAAGCCCCAGCAGCCCCACCTTAGTGTATGGGTGTCTTAGGTTCGTGCCTGAGACTCTTGTGCAGGTGACACACTGACGGGCGGCTCTCAGGTGAAAGAGCGGGGGGATGGCAGAGAGGGTTGGAGGAAATGCTGACCAACGATGAGCTCTCTGTTGGAGGTGAGCTTCCACCTGATCCCATGGGGACCTCGTCAGCATTAATGACATCACCGGTTTGATCTGCCTTGAGGCAAGAGGGGCACTCTTTTGTAACCCCACGTCCATCAGTCGTTGGCTGTGGGCTACTGCATGGGTGGGGAGGTCATATAACTTCCCGGGCGAGGAAGTTCCTAAGAGGGGAGAAGCTATGAGTCCTTAGCAGCCAACGCTAACAGCAGCTGGGGGGTGAGTGCACCTGCAGGACAGAGGAATCTGGGTGGGGCCCCCCACAGTGTTTTCTGTGCATCCTAGAGAAACTCAGGCAAAAGGATACATGTGCAAGGATATTTACTGCACCTTAGTGTGTAATAGAAAATGAGGAGCAGCCTAACTGTGTCTCAGCAGGGGAACAGGAAAATAAGCTGCTTTATGAGTACAATGAAATAATCTATCACAGTTAAAACGAACAAACTAGATCAACACATCCCAATATGGGTGAATCTCCAGGACAGACTATGGAGTGAAAAAATAAATGACAGAGGAATATGTACAGAATTATACCATTTATGTAAACTTTTAAAATACACGTAACAATAGAATTACAGGTTCAGAATGCATAACTAGATGATGACAGTACATGCCCGGGCCAGATAAACACCAGCTTCAGCTCAGTTATCTCTGGGGAAGAAAGGCAAGGAGGGAAGCGGTATGAGGCTATATCGACAGTGTTTCGTTTGTTTTCTTTTTAAAAGGGGGCTCTGAAACAAGCATGGCAAACTGTTAACACCCATTTAATCTTGGTGGACACGTGTCTGTTACGTTACTTTCTGATTTTTCTGTCTGTGAAAATGTTGTATGATTAAAAGTAAAAATGTTCAAAAGCCACAAGGGAGGGGTTCTGGGGGCTGCCCTCTGGAATCGCGGCGTCTCCTGAGAAACGGAACCAGCCCCTCCGGGAAGGCGCAGGTTGCGCTGTCCAGGGTGCTGGACGTCAATGGCGGGGCTGGTTGCGCTGCGACAGATGAGCAGGTCCTGGCAGCCCTCTCTCCAAAGTGTGCCCTAAATCTAACAATTTCTCTCCATCCGCCCCCAGTCCGAGCCGCCGCCACCACCCCTCCCCTGCACGTCTGCAGGAGCCTCTCCATGGGTCGCCCTGCTTCCTCTGTCGCTCCGGTAATCCATTCTCCACAAGCAGCCGGAGAGACCTTCTAAAAACATAAACCAGACCATGCCATTTCCCTAGTTACAACCCTCCAAAAGCCTCCTATGAAGCTGGTAATGACATCTAAGTCTTCACCTGGCCTACAGCACCCTACGTGATCTGCTCCTGGCAGCCTCTTCAACCTCCCTCCAACCGTCCTCCCCTCACTCACGCCCTTCATTTTATTTCTTGAACGTGCCAGACCTCGGCATCAAGCTCTTCCCTCTGCCAGGGATGTTCTTCCATGGCTGCTGAAGGTTCCAGCCAAGTATGACCGCCCCAGAGAGGACTCCCTCCTGAGCCACTTTGTACCATGGTACCCAATGTTGTATTTATAGCACTTACAACGAGTTGAAGTTCTCCCTTTCATTGTTTATTTACTTATTTTTGTTCTGCCCCCATCATTTGTTATGCTCTAAAAAAGCAGGTACTGCATTGAATTTCCTCAGTGCTTCATCCCCAGCATGCAGCACACTGATGGCCCTCATTTGTACCTAAAAGATATTTGTTGAATGAATGGATGTATATTTACTGAGCACCTCTTCTGTGACAGGCCCTGTGCTTGGCTCCATGAGCTCTGGATTAAATAAGATAAACTTTGCCCTCAAGATGCTCACAGGCTGGAGAAAACAGAGAAGCCAAATGACAGGATCATAGAATGTTAGAACAAGTCCCTTTGCTCTTATTATGGAATTAGAGTACTTGAACAGAATCAGACTGTTTGTTCTCTACACCCTCCTTGTTTCTTAAATAAAGAAATCCAGCCTTACTCAGAGAGGGAAAAGGACTTGCCCGAGTTCACACAGCATCAGAGGCATAGTCTGGGTCTGAACCCAGGTCACCTAACTTCTCACAGTTTGTCTTTAAAGGAAGGCTCCCCAAAGCAGCTTTGGACCCTGTTCCACCTCCTGGCTCATGGGTGCCCTTTCAGGCACCGCCTGCAGAAGAGAAATGAACTCCCCAGAGGAGTGATTTGGGAAGCAAAAGGAAATCCTCAGGGGGCCAGCCCGGTGGCATAGTGGTTAAGTTCATGTGCTCCACTTTGGCAGCCTGGGGTTCACGGGTTCAGATCCCGGGCATGAACTGACACACTGCTCATCAAGCCATGCTGTGGAGGCACCCACTTGCGAAATAGAGGAAGATTGGCACAGATGTTAGCTCAGGGTCAATCCTCCTCGAAAAAAAAAAAAAAAAAAAAAACCAGAAAAGAAAAGAAAAAGGAAATGCTCAGGCCGAGGAGCACCTTACCCTTTAATCAGAACCAATACCTG